CCATGTAACACATCATATAATCAGGTGTAAATAAAAACATGTTTTTTATTCACTACTGTTATATGCATATAATTGTTGCGATGTAACAAATATAATGTTTTTGCAGTATAGCCTGACGACATATGCTGTTACCATGTCACAAATCTTATAACGTTGCTGCAATATCACCTAGCGACATATAAGCTGTTACCGTGCAATACGTCATACAAAGTTATTGCATTGAAATCTGCTACTATGTAATACACATACCGTTGTTACTATTCAAAACATACACCGTTCGTACTATTTAACACATTATATACCGTTGCTACAATTCAAAACATTATATAACGTTGAAACAATTTAGACATTATATACCGTTGTTACTATTCAACACATTATAATATAACGTTGTTGCAACTTAACCTAGCGTCTTATAAGCTGTTGCCGTGTAACAGGGCATATGTCACGTTGTGTCTGTAATACCAATGTTACTACATAACACGACATATACGCGGTTGCCATGTAACACTGTTGTTGCTATGTACGGCCTCATGCATGGTCGCCACTTAATGGGAGTGTACCTGCTTATTAAGTAATGACTGATTGCATTCTAGGTGCTTGCCTCCTTCGATCATTGCTTGTAGACTTTCGCAAATCATTCATGGTTGTTTTCTTTCTGTCTCTCTTACAGCTCAGATAGAGATAATTCCATGCAAGATATGCAGTGACAAATCATCAGGTGTCCACTACGGAGTGATAACTTGTGAAGGCTGCAAGGTATGGCTATCTCACCTAGCAAACCATGAATGTATTCCTCTGTAGTAATCAGCTGCGTAGTCATATCCCATCTACTAGCCGAACGTTAATTTATCCCCTAGCTGTATATATATAGTAGCTGGCTGTATCTATATTCCATATCTCTCTATATTATTATTAGCAATTAATGTGTTATTAGCTCTCGATGAAATCTATCCACAGTAGCTATAGATATAGGCCTATTTTTTTTTATTAATTTAAAGACGGTACATTGGTAACAGATATGTCAACATGAGCTTACAAGCTCCTCACCATCACTAAAAGCCTATATGTGAAGAGATAATAATTCATTATTATTAGCAATTATGTATCATTAGCTCTTGATGTAATATATCCACATGCAGTAGTTATTTATATATAGTAAATTGTATCGCTAGAGAATGCATTCTACCGCTGTGCAGTGCATGCACTTGGTTGAGTTGTTGCTCAGTTTCTATTGTTCTGGCAAGCGGATGCTGCATGTCATTCTTACGGCGCATGGCATTTATTATAGGAAACCGCACAGCGTATAGTGACGTATAGCGTGGTGGAGGTGCGACGGTGTTACGTCACCGTGACGTGACGTATCCCCCCCCCATGTCGCCTAAACGCGCACCAGCATTGTCAATAACATCCCCGTATCGTCGCGCGGGCCCCCGAACAAATAAATTAATACTTTGATTAGTGGTTATACATGTTTATTATTATTCCACTTGAATACACATTCCTCGCATAATCGGGCAGCGATCAAGTTTCTTTCCTCCCTTTTGCGGATCGAGTTGCGTCATTGCCGAATAATGACAAACGCAGAGTCCGTTAATTTGCACCAAAGTGCTTCCGATTCCGGTATTTAGGATTGTTTCACAATAAATTACGAACAGGCGTGATGTGTGGTAATTTCAGTTGGTTTATGTTAGTCTTGGGCCACCCTTATACCCTCTCGCCTCGTGGCATTGCACTCTTATATCGCTGTATCGCGTGGATGCTGTTGTCCCACATGAGACGTAATCGCTCGTTTTTTATTGGCGTTTATTACGCTGAAGACTTGCAAACTTGTCTTCAAGATGGCTGCAAGGCAGCAGTAGGATAATTTACATTTATTTCCGCCCTCGATGACGGCATCTGGTTACGATAACGACTGCGAAGGAAACGTGATCATTGCTTCCGGTGTTAATCTCATCAACAGGTTACGTTTCGCATGGCGCACGTGAATTAAACGCACGCGCGAGAGTGTTTACCAACGATTTTTTTTTACGAGAATCGTTTTTCGATCGAAACAGGAAGTAATTTGCCAGGTCAACATCGGCCGTTAGTGAACTAGTTTGTTATACCGTGCCGCCACCTAGCGGAGCTTAAACTTGTGACTGGACCGTTTTATTTAAAACAAAAATTGGAAGTGCAGCTGTTGTTCGTGCTGCTGCAAAAAAGCCTAAAATATATATGCATAACATATAAAATATAATATATTATATGTGGTGTATTTATAGTATGTATATTACAATTATTGTAATGAAATCATCCGTACATGCATTAGAATCAACAGCTCCTGTGTGACAAATGTTCCGTGCACATCACTGCTATTCATGTTGGCTTTCTGTCTGACATTAGTTGTACAAAATGTCGAAGACGTTCAGCAACTGCATCAGTGCGGTCGCATACTAAATTTTTATTTTATTTATTTATTAATTTAAAGATGGTAGATTGGTAACAGATATGTCAATGCGAGCTCCTCACCACTGTCAGTAATAAATTGTCACGTTCGTTCTGCTTCAGGGTTTTTTCAGACGCAGTCAGAGCAGTGTTGTGAACTATCAATGTCCCCGACAGAAGAACTGTATTGTAGATAGAGTGAATCGGAACAGATGTCAGTATTGTAGACTACAGAAATGTTTGGCGCTCGGAATGTCGCGAGACGGTAAGTGCTGAGATGGTCTCCAGTGCATGTATCTACATGTAAACGGACCTAGAATGTTAATGCTGAATGTTCTCAGGGCTACCATAGTTGTTGCCATTGTTGTTTTGGCTTCTGTCCATGTTGTCATAATGCTACTGTCACTGATGTCAATGCTATTGTCATTGCTGACGTTATTATTTTCTTGTTGTCTTGGTAATCGCCACTGCTGTCACTATGGCTGTGATCGGCTGCATTGCCCCTCATCACCGCGGTTACCATCCACAACATTTCTTGCATCACCGCGGTTACCGTCGTCGACGTCTTTTATCACCGCGGTTACCATCGTTGACGTCTTGCATCGCCGCGGTTACCGTCGTCGACGTCTCGCGTCGCCGCGGTTACCGTCGTCAACGTCTCGCTTCGCCGCGGTTACCGTCGTCGACGTCTCGCGTCTCCGCGGTTACCATCATCGACATCTCGCGTCGCCGTTGTTAGCGTCGCTCACATCGCCGTGTCGTTTCAGCTGTGAAGTTTGGCCGCATGTCGAAGAAGCAGCGGGAGCGGGTGGAGGACGAGGTGCGGTGGCACAAGGAGCACCGCGCGCTCATGAACCAGTACGAGCAAATGTCGCAGTCACACGTAGCGCAGCCTTCCAGCTCACAGGACCTTGATCCGAACAGTAATAAATTTCTATTGTAAGTGTCGTGCGCGCGCAGGGCGTGCGCGAGGGTGGGGAGGTGTGGGGGAGGGAGGAGGTGTCAGGGGGATAGGACGGGAGTGTTGGGGGAGGGAGGGAGGTGTCAGGGGAAGGAGGGAGGTGTCAGGGGAAGGAGGGAGGTTGGGGGAGGGAGGAGGTGTCATGGGAAGAAGGAGTGCAGGGGGAGAAGAGGGAGGGTCAGGGGAGGGAGGGAGGTGTATGGGGGCGGAGGTGTTAGGCGGAGGAGGAGGTGTATTTGGGGAAAAAAGGGACGGTCTGTTGGGGAGGGAGGGAGGTGTTGGGGGAGGGTGGGGAGGTGTGGGGGAGGCGAGGGAAGTTGGGGGAGGGAGGGAGGGAAGTGTTGGGGGAGGTGTGGCGGGAGGAGGGAGGGAAGTGTTGGGCGGAGGGGAGGCGAGGTGTTGGTGGAGGGGCCGGAAGGAGATGTGGAGAGGGAAGGGATGTGTCGGGGGAGGGTGAGAAGTGTGTGGGGGAGGGAGTGAAGTGTTGGTGGGAAGGTGGGGAGTGTGAGGAAGTGGCGAGGGAGGAGGGGGCAGCAGTGTGAGATGACAAAGTCAGTTAACAGGTTAAGTTCAAGGTCAAGGTCATGGTCATTTGTAAGAGCTCAATGTCGTTTGTTAGAGCAATGTCAGTAGATGGGTCAACTATCTACCATTGGAAAAGTCTATTGTAAGTTGTCACGGTCTCGGCGGTAGACAACAAATGTAGTTGACACATAAAGCAAATAGTGGTGTCAGTCGGAATAGCGATATAAAATATCAGATGTTTCCGCCTAGCATTCAGCGCATCCCGTTGCTTGAAAAATCACGGAGTAATTTATTTATTAAAGTTTAAGGTAGTTAGATATTAAGTAAGGTAAGTAAGTAAGTTTGCGCCAAAGGGAAATTGGCGGCGAACGTCCCCCGTCGAGAATGCTTCTGGCTCGACATCGCTGTGACCGTTCGCTTGTTTTACAGAGGGGCTACCATCCGCAGACGTCGCCACCTGAACGGGTACCAGTATCCCAGCACACAGGACCTTAATTACAGCATCAAGCCGGAGCCGTCGTACATGCCGACGACGACGACAGACGCGTCGGCTATGATATGCGTAAAAAATGAAGGTGCATAGCGCGCAGCCGGACAACGGTAATAACAGATACTGAGAAATATTGTGAGGTGAAGAGCGTAGATCGAACATACT